GGGAAGAATTTTCCCCCATTGTGTTGGGATCAGTGTTTCCTCAGTCTGAGGGTGTCGTTGTTCACTAAGGAAGAAGGCATATCTGAGCACATTCCTTTCCTCATGACACTGGGAGGATTTTCTTCTGTGGAAATCCTCCCATGTCCTTCGTGTGTTGGCTCCATGAGGAATGGGATTCCCACATGGATTTCATCGGCATTCAGCAGCAGCGATGATGCAGGGTGTCCCAGGAGGTCCCTGCACCTTCGCTCCTGTGTGAGGGATGATGCGCACTCTGAGATGGTAGCAGGAGCTCGGGTCTGAGCCCCAGTTGATGCTTCTCCCACCAAGATACAGCGCTAGTGGTTCTCCCCTTGTGAGTTCTCTGGTGTTGGGAAAGGGACCACTTCTGGCAGAAGGCTCTGCCTCAGTGATTGGAGACACAGGGTTTGTATTGTGTGATTTATGTGGTGGTGAGAAAGGTGGGCACTCTGAGTAAAGTCGGGGCCCTGGTGATGACAGACTCAGGTTTCTCTGTTCTGAGATATCTGGTGTCTCCAAATGTGAGAGCTGTATCTAACGGCTCTTCCACGTTGACCGCATTTGTTGAGGTTCCCACCGGTGTGGATCCTCAGATGCTGGCTGAGGGTGTGGCTGGACTAAATGCTTTCCTTTGAAGATGGCATTCAACCAGTTTCTGTCTATGGAAACGTGCCCATGGCCTCGAAGGGATGCATGTTGCTGCCAGCTCTTGTGCAGCAATCCCACCACATGGCTTCTATCCTGTGTGAAGTCATTGGTGTTAATAAGAGCAGAGCTCTCTGAATGAAGGGTCTCCCACCTTCGTTCCATCCCTAAGGTGCCTCTCAGGTGATTTTTCCGTGTACAGAGGTGAGCACTGCCGTGGAATTGTTTCCCGCATGCGTATCATGTGTACTTTCCTTGGAAGGGTGAGTTATCTCATGTCTCCTGAGGTTAGAGTCCCGACTAAAGGGTCTCCCACACTGGGGAGATGAGTGTGGTGCGATCCAGGATGAACGAGCTCTGATGTCACTTGCACCAGGGACACATGCCTAAAGGCCCTTCCACATTGTCTGTAAATACAAGGTTTCTCTTCCCTGTGTGTTAGCAAACATCGAGTGAGGTGAGGTTCATGTGAAATCTTCCTCCTGTGCCCCAGCATTGGCCATGTTCCTGGGCAGTGTGAACTGTCTGCTTATGGCCAGAACAGGAGGGGCTGTGGAAGGATTGCTCACTCATGTTCCTTCCTTCCTGACTCGTAGTAATTCCAGCCTCCTCTTTCAGGTATAGTCTCTGTGTAAATTCTGCATGTCGCTTTTGTTTGAGTGCAATATTACTTTTCTGAATTCAGATAGATCTTTCTACATGGTAACGGCTTGACTTGAGGCCCATTTCAGCCAAGACATGAAACTACTCAGATTTTTGGTGGGACAACCTGTATGCTCAGTGTCTTGGAAGACAGGAGATTTTGGTGAATGCTTAGCGTATCCCATGTCCTGCTGTAGTGTGGAAGATGAGGGCTCATTACAGTGAAGCTTACCATTGACTGGCAGAGAAGCAGACCTTTGAGATGCACCCACGTGGGTATCACTTCATCCTTTTTAATAGGGAATGTATTGCAGTGAGCACTTGGGTCTTATATGCAAACAATGAGTCATGGAACACTACATGAAAAACTACTGAAGTACTTTATGGTGACTAAGACAACAGAACAAAAGAAAGAAAGAGGGGGAGGGAGGGAGGAATACAAAGAACAAAAAGATAATGAAGGGAAGTAAGGAAGGAAGCAAGAGAGGGAGGGTTTGAAAAAAAGGAGAAGAGAAACTGGTAGAGAGGCATTAGGGGAAAGAAAAATTTTGAAAGTTGTGAGACAAACATCTGAGAGTTAAGATTTGAGCTTGATTACAAAGGAAAGACATGGAGTCATCTACTAAGGAGCAGAAACATGTTATAGGGTATTGGTGATTAGAACCTATTGACCAGATAAACATGTGAGAAAAAGAAAGGGAGGATGGGATGCTGGGGAGATTAAGATGGGCAAACTCCACAAAGGCGAGGACTGAAAGAGGTTCCACATGATAGTTTCAGTCCAAGAATCACAGAAGTGTCCTATGTTCAGATGATGCAGAATGTGCAGTGGGTTAGGTGGATGGAGACGGAAGAGTTGTCAGAAATGGGAACGTGTTGCAGGGTTGTTTCCACAGGAGCCTTATGTAGGCTGGACTGATGCAGGAGGACTGATGTAGGTAAGATGTTAGAGTTCGAGGCTGATGGTCAAAAAAGAAGTCTTGAGACACCTTTGCTGGCAAAAGATGATTTCATTAAAGCACAGGTACAGGACCCATGGGTAGAAAGGTTTGCTATGCTGGGGTCATGACGGGAGGCTGACTTTCTAGGATGGCAATGGGGGAGGTCAGGGAAAAGGGAGGTTTTGTAAGAACGTTGCAGTAGATCAGATGACACACAGGATACAGGAGGCTGGCTCTTGTCAAGTGAAGGTGGTTTTTCCTTCTAGAAAGACATTAATGGAAAGATAGTTGGGAACTTCCTGGAGGAATGTTACCTTCTTCATCTCACAGGTCCTTCTCAAGGGACTGCAGGTTTGGGAAGAAATTCCGTTTTATTTACATTTCCTTCAGCCTCAGCCTCCCTCAGTGTGATGGAGGGGAGGGAGATGTTAGGGCTTCAGGAAATGGAGTTACAGGTCTCTGGAAGTTAGCTAGCCTAATGACAAGCAACCCTCTTCCTTTGTAATCACTAGGACATTTGTAAACTGAGGGAGACTGAGGTCTTGCAGTGTTTTGATCTCTATTTGTGAAGAACCTGTTTTTTTCTTTCCTTAGCTTTAGAGCAGCCAGAGTGACTGAGGAATGTCACCCATATCACATGTTGTGGAGGGGTGGTGTGGCATGCCAGCTTCTGCTTTGTCCTCAGCTAGCCTTCTCTGCCCTTGTCATGTCCTCCTAAATAGGTTAGACCCTTCAGTCATTAAGGTTGTTGAAGGAGGAAGGTCTTATCTTCTGTATCTTCTTCCTGCTGAATTGGGGCATAATGATGTCCCTGCCTATGGGTCAGTACTGGTCATTTAGGGACTCTATGTGTGAGAGTTGTGAATTGCAGGGACCACTGAGAGCAGGGGAGAAATTCTGTTCGGATTTTCCTGAGTGGAAAGGACTATCTCTCATCTGGAAGTTACTGCAGTGAAGGATTCCTGGCACCACCCAGGGAATTTGTCAGGTCCTGAGCTCTTGTGTTTTGGGAGGTTTTTTATCACTCCTTTAATCTCATTACTAGATATCCATCGATTCAGGTTGTCAATTTCTTCCTGGTTCAATTCTGGGAGTTTATAGTTTTCCAGGAATGCATCCATTTCATCTAGGTTGCTTAACTTATTGGCATATAACTATGGATAATAATTTCTGATGATTGTTTCTATTTCCTTGGTGTTAGTTGTGATCTCTCCCTTTTCATTCATAATTTTATTAATTTGGGCTTTCTCTCTTTTCTTTTGGATTAGTTTGGCTGATGGTTTATTGATCTTATTGATTTTTTCAAAAAAAAACAGCTTCTAGTTTTATTGATGCATTCTACTGTATATCTAGTTTCTATCTCATTGATCTCTGCTCTAATCTTGATTATTTCCCTACTTGAGTGTGGAGTTGGATTAATTTGTTGTTGATAATCCAGTTCTTTAAGATGTAGAGACAGCTGGTGTATTCTGGATTTTTCCATTTTTTTGAGGGAGGCATGAATGGCTATGTATTTACCCCTCAGGACCACCTTTGCTGTATCCCATAGGTTTTGGACCAATGTGTTTCATTCTCATTGGTTTCCATGAATTGTTTAAGTTCTTCTTTGATTTCCTGCATGATGCAAACATTCTTAAGCAAGGTGGTCTTTAGTTTCCAGGTATTTGAGTTCCTTCCAAACTTTTCCTTGGGATTAAGCTCCAGTTTCAAAGCATTGTGATCTGAGAATATGCAGGGAATAATCTCTCTTTTGGTATCCATTGAGTCCTGATTTGTGACCCAGTATGTGGTCTATTCTGGAGAAAGTTCCATGTGCACTTGAGAAGAATGAGTATTCTGTTGTTTTAGTGTGGAATGTTCTGTATATATCTATGAGGTCCATCTGGTCCATTTTGTCATTCAATGCTCCTGTTTCCTTTTTGATTTTCTGCTTGGATGATGATCTATTACTGAGAGAGGCATGTTAAGATCTCTTATTAGTAATGTATCCATATCAATATGACTCTTTATCTTGATTAATAGTTTTCTTATGTAATTGGCTGCTCCCATATTGGGGGCATAGATATTTACAATTGTTAGATCTCCCCTGACCGCCTAGGGGGACTCGAACCGCCTGGCAGTTCCCCTGACCGCCTAGGGGGACTCGAACCGCCTGGCAGTTCCCCTGACCGCCTAGGGGGACTTGAAACACCTGGCAGGTCTACCAGTGGAGGGATGGGGTGTCCCCGCATCCACTCCAGCTCTGGGGAGCAATGCTACGTCCAGTTTCCCCTGGTGGGCCATACCCTTGGAGCTCCGCAACCAGACAGACAGACAGGATCTCGAAGAATGGGGTTTCAAGATCTTACCTCCTGAGGCTTTTCCCAGAAATTCTGATGCTGGCTCTGTTCTCAACATTTGATCACGGACCAGCCCCCAGAATGTTGGGGCCGTTATCAAAGGGGCGAGGCTGACAAAAATTGAAAGTAAGGCAAAGCTTTATTTTTATGCCAGGCATCAGAAACCAGACTGACTGGTCAGGGCCACCTCCCAAGAGGGTGACCCCGTCCCGATCTCACAGGCTGGTTTTATAGGGCATAACCATAGACCCAAGGTACATGGCTTCTATTGTTAAGGCGTTTACTCCCAGAATCGATACCCAGAACAAATACCAGGAACTACTGGGGCATTTATTCCCGGAATGAAGTCTTTAGATGTAAACAACAATATGGTTACCCAGGTAATATGGAGTCGCTCTGGCTAAGCAGGCCCTAATAGTTAAACAGGTTTTAACATTAAATTGGCCCTAACATTGATCCAAGCATTGGTCATGGACCTGTACATGGAAGAGACAGGGGCGATTCAGGGGTGGCACCCTAGGGGAATACAGGTGGGGTGGCTGCTGTCCCTCAAGTCGATTCCAGGGTGGTCAAGGGGCCCTGGCAGTCCTGCTTCTTCCTGCATCTGTCATGCTCTGCATGGTTGCTGGGGACTGGAGGGACAGCAGGAGGAGTAGCATCCCCTGAAGCAGACAGGGGAAAAGACCAGAAGGCTGCTGTGCCCCCCAGTCCCAGGAGGGCCCATTCTCACCAGACAATGGACTGTTGTAGGCCCAGATCATTGCTTCCTGCTCCAAGTGTCAGTCATCAGCAAGGCCTGGTCAGCCAATTCTGGGTGTGTTGGCTGACTCAGAGAGTCCTCTTGTCTCTTCCTCGGGTTCCAGTGTCATCTTCTGGTGGGCTGCACAGAAGTCTTCTCTGTTTGGCTTGTGGAGGTCAGGTGCAAGAGAGCCATTCCTGCAGGCATGTTTCCTTGTGTTTTCATGCTGAGTCTTCCTCCAGGCCCAAATCGACACTGCAAGTGGGGCCCCAGGGCCCTCCTGGCTCCCTTTGTCTGAGCGCCTCTGGAGACTCTGGTGCCTCAGTGTCGTGAGCAGACTGTCCTGTGGTGCAGCTGTGGAGACAACAGGTGGAGTGGTATGAGATAATGAGTGGTCTGTGGCCTGGGACAGGTCTTACCAGAAGCCTGTGGGGTTTTGTGGGACGTGTCTTCTGAGGTCTTGAGATAAGAGGTTTCCTTTCAGGACCCATGTGTGACATGAAGAAAGGGAAGTTTCCCATGGGCCCACTGGGGCTAAATGAAGGCTACACTCCCAGGGTCACTCAGGCCCCTTCCTGGACCATCCGCCTCCATGACTGCTGGGTCCTCTCCTGCAGACTGTCCCTTCCCCAGCCTCTCTGAGAGCCCTCGACATGCCCTCCTCTGTGGGGGGAGCCTATGGCCACACAAGTATTGCAGGTGGTGTGGCAGAGATGGCATGTTCCTGACTCCCATGGGAAGGGAGTTTGCAAAGTTCCCATGCTGTGAGCAGGTGGTGGGCGAGGTGGGAACAGGCAGGGCGGCCTTTCCCTGGTGGGTCTTCCCTGTAGATTGAGGGATTGAGGAGAGTGTCTAGAATATCAAACTCACATAGCGAAATGGTGCCATGAGGGGACCTGCTACCTCCCACGAGGCATCTTGGAGGCTCAGGGGACTGGAGGTTTTGGTCAGGTCCTATGGGAGTGGCCAGAGTACTTGACTCAGCTGGAAACCGGGCCTACTTGGTGCCCTCAGGGATGCAGCGCTGGGAGGGGTGAGCTGTCCTGCTCATATAAGCCCAGGGGCCTGTCTTGTTTGCTCATTTCTCAGGTGCCTGAAGTCGGAGATGAGGCCACCCCACCACTGTCTCTTCCCGACGAGTGTTGTTTGGGAGGAAGCCATCTGCTGAATTTTGCAGGGTGGGAGGGCAAGGCTTGGGTTGTGCAGATGAGGGGCTCAATGGGGCATGGGACTCTTTTCCAGAAGAACACAGTGCATGGGCTACCTAGTCAGCCACTGCCCTCCCTCCAAGTTCAGCAGCTCCTGGACGATAGAGCCCAACCACCACAGGGAGTTGCACGGATCAGGTGGAGGTTCCCCGTGGGATGTTCTCAGGGCTTCCTACTGCCTACAGGGACTGTGGCCTTCCCTCCATTTCCTCTTTGTTGTCAGAGGCTAGGGCAGCACCCCGGGTGTTGTGTGGTTTCCCTACGTGACCACAACAAAGGGCAACAAGGGAGAGCATGTGTCCATGTTTGCCTGCCTCTTTTCCTGCCCAACTCACCCCATTCCCAAGTCCTTCTCTTCTTCTGCTTCCCTTGTTGTTTCTGTCAAGTCCACAGAAGGAAAGCTTCTTGAGAGCTGAGAGCAAGAGCAGAATAGGGCATAAGCACAGACTCCCAGGCAGCAGAGAACCAAGTGGGGACACCCAGGCCAATCCTCCCTTCCTGAGCTCCTCCAGCAGGGTGAGTTGTGCCCTGCCAAATCCCAGTCGTACTCCCTTCTCTGCTGTCCAGGGCTGCTTCCCAGACTCAGTGGTGAGGGGTCAGTGTGATGCTAAGAAAGGGGTGAGGAGGGCTGCTCAGGGATTTCATGCAGCAGTTCAGATGAAAAGCCTTAGTGCCTGCCTGAGACTAGGGCCTCCAGGGTGGGCGTCGTCAAAGCAGGGAAATGGGAATAGCTTGGAGGAGGGGCTTATGGATATATGAGAGAGGAAGCCCAAGGGATGGAGTTGGAAATGAATTACAGGCGCAGTGTGTCTCCTTCTGTTGAAATCGTCGTCTTCCATGGAATCCTCCTCCAGGTCAGAGAGCAGCGAGGATGCTAGGGTGGCCGTGAGAGAGGACAAAGGGGAGTCAGTGGAGCTGACAACCTCTGGCCTGCGGCTCTGGGGATGATGGGCTCTGCCCTCAGTGGGGTGGGTCCCCAGCTCTGAGTTCTCCCTGGCCTTGGTCGCTTGATCTCCGCAGAGTACAGATGGGTCTCTGGTTGCCCACCTGCTCTTCCCACCTCTAATTCTCTCCAAGACCCGGAAGCCCATCTGTGTGATCCTTTACCTCCTGGAGGCTGTCACTGTTTAAGACAGCCTTTGCAGGACTTTGCCTTCCTCCGTCCTTGTTCCTGTACCTCCCTCCTCCCCTTCCTCCTCCTCCTCCCCTAGAGATGCTCCATGTCCTTCCCCCTGCCAGGCTCCACCAGTCTTATTGTTGTCCAAGGTGGGGAAACCAAGGAAAGAGAGGAGATATCCTGGCTCCCACGGAATCAACCCCCTGTTCTCTCTGTGCTGGGAGCAGCTCTCATGGGTCTGGGATTGCTAGGGAACTGCAGGGAGAGATGGCCAACCACCTCCCCACAGCCCATGTCTGCCCAGTCACTGAGATGACCTTTCCAGGGACATGTTTCAGGCTCATACAATGCCCTCTATTTCCATAAGTATTACAGAGGTTGAATGGAGATGGGAGCACAAGAAATTCTCCCGGTGCCTTCAGCTGTTCAGGGCAGCCCTGGAAAATGTCCAACAGTATGGTCACTGAAACACAGGATTCCTGCCAGTGCTCCTGCTGAGGCTTGCAGGGAATGGACGGGGCAGGGGTGTGTGTAAGGCCCTGGAGAGGCCTGAAGAATGTTTGCAGTTTGGGCATGACTGGGGAGTGGGGGGCATGGCCAGAGCTGCGTGCTGGAGAGGTGGGTTTGTGAGAGGAGAAGTGACTCCCTGGCCCTGCTCCCAAGAAACTCTGTGCTATGCCTCAACAACAGCTGATGAGAGGTAGAGTGGACCTGAGACAGCAAGTGTGTGAAGCAGGTCCAGCAGCCACTTCACACAGGCCTGGAGGACCCTGGCCTGCAGCATGGCATCTCCAGGGCAGGTACATGGGGGCATCCTTCTCTTGTGAGCACATCCACAGGTCAGACTCGGTTGGGGTGTGAAGGCTGGCAGAAGCTAAGGGACATGGGAGCCTGTGTAGTGAACCCAGGGGAAGCTCGCTTTACCTTCTCCAGCTCTGGGAGTCCCCCTGAATGTACAGCAGCTTGAACAGAACCAGGAAAGTTTGGTAGTGGACGTTATCATGGAGAGAGTTTACCTGTATTCCACCTCCTGGCTCACACCAGAACTTAGTGTCCTCGTTCTCTTGCACAGGAGAGGATGGTTGGGTCCACCAAGTCATGACCATGACCAGGTCTGGGCCCATGCCAAGAAAGATCCAGAATCTCTTGTGCACCATTCCCAAGAGGCCACGAGCAGAGAGACCAAGCTTTGACATGTGGCAGTGGCAAAGGGAGGCCAGAGCAGGTTTGATTAGAAAGATCCTTAAAATAGCCACCCAAGGGCACCTGGGTGGCTCAGTGGGTTAAGCTGCTGCTTTTGGCTCAGGTCATGATCTCAGGGTCCTGAGATAGAGTCCTATATCGGACTCTCTGCTCAGCAGGAAGCCTGCATCCCTTCCTCTCTCTCTGCCTGCCTCTCTGCCTGCTTGTGATCTCTCTCTGTCAAATAAATAAATAAAATCTTTAAAAAAAAATAGCCACCCAAGGAGTAGAGTGGTGATGACAAACCCAGCCTACCCTAAAGGCCTGTGGACACAATGTCTGTTCTTTTCATTCAGAAACTATGAAATGAGCAAACCATGCCTTTTTCCAATGCATCCCTTTCCTTGGTGCATTGTTACCCACCTTCTTCATTTTCCAGAGCGGCAAGGGCAACCCCATGTTCCCAGGAGCCCTGTCCCACTGTTCCCTTCCTCTGTGCCTTTCCCTACCTGAAGAGACTTCGTCCTCATTGCTGGAGTCCTGGACGCTCTCTACATACAATCTATAGGAACCAAAATAGAAGCAATGCTGTTACGAAAGAGACTGCCGCACCCATTCATCCCGGTTCCGTTGAGATGTCTATGTACCATGCAGCATCTGCCTGACCCTTTTGCACTGGTGTCAGATGTTCATGGGGCTGGTGGAGCCAGAGCCCTTCGAGGAGACAGAAATTGGAGTTTCATCCTTTCTAATGAGACCAGGATGCTGCAGCAGCCACCTCAGTGTCAGTTCTGCATGCCCATGACTGCTGTCCCCTCCCAATGCAACCATCTAAAACTCTAGTTGTTATGGGACTCTTGATGTCTGGCTAGTGGGAGGGAGCAACTGGACGTTTTCTTTTCCTTGATGATTTTTGTATAGTCCATTGAGATAATAAATAACTGTGTAAAGTGAATTGTAGACAGACTCCTGGTTAGCTCAGCACTAGAGCCAGCCAGGAGCGAGAGACAAGCCCTGCTCTCCCACATATTTCTCGGGCATTAGTGGCTTGCCTGACAGGGCCCTCGATAGGTAAGACATTCCCAGGCTCATGCACACCGACTTGGCACTGTTGGAGGCCTTTGGACACTAAGAGATTAAGGTGAACCCCCAGTTCCTAGAACAAATGGTGAACAGATGCAGTGCAGCACTGACCAAAAGCACAATGTAATATTCTCAAAACAGAGAAACTGCTAGAATAGATATGGAACCTCAAAGGAACACAAGGAGCCAAAATGTTTCTGAGTATGAAGGAGTAGGTGGTGGGTCCCTAGAAGCTGATCTTCCAATACCTTGGATCACTCCCCTGAGCCAACAGGATGGTGCTGGCATAAAAATAGACAGGAGCATGTGGGAGCGAAATAGAAATGCACAAATAAATGTGCTCATATTGGAATCACAATGCTTGACAAGAGGACTGACTAGAAAAAGCATCCTCTTCTGAAACAGTGAACAGAATGAAAAGGCAGCCCACATATTCGAGACACCCCTTGCAATCCTTATTTCAGAAAAGGTGTGTTCACTGACAAAAAGGAAAAACAACAAACAAAAGAATGCAAAACAAAACCAAAAAAGAACGGGATTTCACCAAATGAAATAATCGAGAAAAAGACTTGAATAGACTGTGCTGCAAAGGGAATGAATGGCTGGCCAAACAGAAATATAAAAAGATGCACAACATAAGGCATCATGAGGGCAATGTAAATCCAAAGGACGCTGAGCTGTGGCATTGTCTGTTAGGGTAGTGAGGACCAAACCAGGAATTCAAGCCCAAAACCCATGTTGGAAGGATGCAGAAAATTTGAGACTTCTTTGCAGTTAGTGGAATGCAGAATGGTGCAACTGCCCTGGAAAAGCCTGTTGAGTGTCGTCAGAGAGCAATGAAAGGTACTCCCATGGATCTCACACATGCAAGTGAGGAAAAGAGATGTCGGAAAATCAGATTCTGTTCAAATACATGTTTCTCATGAGAGAAATTCTTGTTTGATGCAAAAGAACCCTGCAACCCTAATTTGGCTCTGTTTCCATTCCTAGGCACTGAACTCCCTTAACTTCTCTATTGGCACAAACCTACCAAATAAAACAAGCCCCTCTTGCATGGACAGATGGCCAGGGAAATGTGTGATGATTTTCCTGTCACACCTGTTGAGGTTTGAGGTTCTCTTTCGCCACTTTGCAATGCCCAGAGCACCCTTCATTCCTGCATGGAGGGGGCCCAGGTCCCCAGAGTAATGCTCAGTCCCTGAGGAAGACCTCATTTCCCCTATGATAGGACACCTTTTGTGCCCTCCTCAGAGAGCCCCAGCTAGCACCAGTGGTGGGTGTGTGATTTCCCATGGGAAGAAGTTTAAATCTTAGACACAGTATCTTCAGGGAAATGGTAGATCTCCACAGAGAAACACGGAGTGAATTGGCCCCATCTATTCCTGGCTACTGCTCCTTTGTCAGGATCCTCCCTGAATGTGCCTTTGCACGAGGCTGCCGCAGAAGCTGCTTGCAGAAGGAAGGAGTCTGTCCCAGCACTCAGTGCTTCCAAAGAGTTTGGGAAGATGCATCATGGGGCCTCTGATGCAGAGACATATGTGAGTGAAGTGGCAAGAGGGAGGTACTGTGACCATTCATGCCCGCAGCGTACCATGATGTGAGAGACCCATGGACACTGACTCAGTAACAGGGATTGGACAAGGCAAACTTGTCTTTGGGGCACAGTTTCCCCCTTCCTAGTTAGCGACGGGATTTTTTTTCTAGGGTAATTGATGTGTATTTGCAAGGAAAGAACACCTGTTGAAATTGTAGGTGTTGAAAAGTTTTCACATACATGGACGTTAATGACATGACGGTGATTGGAAACTTTCCTGAGAAAGTGGACACCATTAATCACCATGTTGAAGGGAACAGATAGGTATAAGAACATCCCATTCACACACCTGACACACACCAACCCTGAGAATCACAGCACATGGATTCCCATGTAAACACAGCTCCTGCCCAGCACCCAATCCTACAGCACCTAAGAATAGTATGGTAGCTTCTGGGGACAGGTTCATGAGGCCTTGGGTGGTGGTCTGGAACATGACTCTTAGTCCCATTGCAGCAGGATCTGGATTCTGGGTGGCTCTCAAGATGGAGCCTGCAGGGAACCCCCACCTTGCCCTTGTCCAGGTTGCTCGAAACCAATGCGTGACTCTAGAGTACAGCAGACTTACCACTCTCCCTTTCCAGCAGGGCCACCTGCGATTTCAGAAAAGAAAACATGATGAACATCAAGTCATGCCTCATCCTGCATGCACAGCTCTTTTGTTCTCTTGGTGATGGGCAGGGTCATGGGCACTGATATGGAATCTACTTAGAGGTTGCATGCCCTGGGTCCATTGGACAAAACAGGTTGTAAGGCGGTGTAAGTAGTACCCGGGAAAAAGCTCACTACCCTGTGGACTGTAACCGAACCTGCTGTTTCCTGCAGAGTCTTTGGAATCGGGTATCCATGGGTAACAGACTCTCCCTCAATGATCTGTCCACCAAGTACATTGTACGTGCTGAGGTGTTTGGATCTGATTTCGAGTATAAGAGAAACAAATGATGCTGTACCTCACATGAAGAAAGGCTAAATTACCACCTTGGTGAAAAATGGGGCCTCTCCCTCTGTGCTGTTCACATCAAGGCCATTGCAAAGGCTAGCCAGGGGATCTAGGTAGATACACACAGAGAGTGTCGGGACACCCACGGGGCTCTTCAGGAATTGCTCATGGAGCGTTTCTTGGTGTGCATGTGTTGACAAGTGTGTGGAGGTGGGGAGCTAATCAGTCTGGACTGAGCTGCAGTTGGCCCTTCCTGGATGGAGGAAGAAAGCTCCTGAAGAGGAGCAGGGACGTGAATAGAAACTCTGCCTCATACTGGAGCTACAGGTCATGGAGTAGCTGTGAAATGGTCCATCTCTAAGGCACACCTACTCCCTGCACTCAAAGCTGCACCACCTAAGGGCAGCGGAGTAGTTTCTGGGGACAGGGCCATGAGGCCACGGGTCTTTCCCCAGAAAATGCTTTTCTGTTACTATGACCTTTATTCTCAATCCTGCAGGACCTGTAATCAGAGTGGTTCTCATCATGAAAGCCTGTGAGGAAGCCCCACCTTTCCCCTTTTCCAGGTTGTTGCAAACAAGTAAGTGACTCTAGAGTATAGAATACTTACCGCCATCCCCTACCAGCAGGGTCACCCATGATTTCAGAAAAGAAAACAGAATAAGCATCAAATCATGCTTTGTCCTGTTTGTGTGGCTTTTTTGTTCCCTGGGGGATGGGAGAAAACCAGATGGGGAAGTGTGCTAGAGGCCCGTGAGCCCCAAAGTATGAAGAGAGCAAAATGAGTCCGGCACAAATGTGCCCAGTCTTCCTTCAGGTTCCACGTTCCGGTTCCCACTGAACAAAATAGGTGGCAAGGATGAATAGCTGCTATCCATACAAAAGCTCACTGCCCTACAGATGGTAGGTGATCCTGCTGTGATTGTCCCCGCCCCCCCCTACAATATCTTTGGGATTAGGTAGCATTTGGTAACAGATTCTCCCTCAAACTTCTCCCTACCCTGTCAGTTGTGCATGCTGAGATTTTTGTATATGACCTTGATTTAAAAAGCCAGAAGACTTTCGTGTTTCCCACAAATAAAGGCCAACATACCACCCTGGTGAAAAATTGGCGTCTTCCTCTGTTGTTCTTGTGGAACGTTCACCCGCCTGTCCATCCAGCAAAAATCTTCCTTTAGAATTCTCATCCATGTCTTTTCTGCCATCTTTCTAACAGGAAGACACCAATGATCCAAGTGTGTTTTCCTACCATCCCTTTTCATTGTCTGGGTAGCTGGCAACCTGCTTCTGGTCTCTTCTGCCCATGGAAGGTGGCAGTTTCCTCGTTCCTGGATCATCCAAGCTAGCTGAGTCTTCAGACTGCATCCCACTAAGAAGAAGATTTGAGGACTTCTTATCTAGATGGTACTTAGGGTCTCATTTCTCCGTAGATCTGATGGCTGACTTGTATTCTTGGAGGAAAATTTTTGACATTTTCAGTAGTACTGCAAGGAGAAACGCAAGGTAGAATTCATTGGAAAATGATAAAATTAAAATACTCAAGAGTCCAAACAGTGCATTTCTTCCTCAGATGCTGGGGTGTTTCCCCATCTGTTCTCACAGAGATTCTGGAGGAATGGCAAGACCCATGACTTTGTGTTCTGGCACCTCTGCTCTTCACCTGGAAGAGAGCCTGCTGTCCCTTTGACTCTGAGCGCAGAGGGACTGGGTGGGTCTGCTGTTGTGCTGGGTGGATGATAGTCCCTGTTCAGGGAAGGAGGAGGATGCCGCTCCACACAGACCCTCTGGGGATGCCTAGGGCTTTCCCCGCAGAACCTCAGTGTGGTTGCAAGAGAGGGAGGTGGTTCTGGACCCCCTTTTCCCTGTCTCCCTCCACCTGTAGGTGTGAAGAAATACTGGCACTTTGCGGTCATCCTGAAGGCCTCCAAAAGCATTGGCCTGAGACCATCTAACGTGCCATGGAGGTGTTTGTGAGTGATACCGGTATGCTCCTCATGGCCCTGCCCTCTGCGAGTCCTGGCCTGCCTCTCTCAGGGGCCTAGTAGCATGCCTCTGTCAAAGAGTATGGTTCTGGGGCACCGCAGGAAGGGAAGACTGTGGGTTCAAGGTCACTGCTTGGAAAGAGTAGATCTGTAGAGTGCGGGGCAAACCCAATGGGCAGAGAGATGCTTCCAGTCTTGCACTCAGACATGAGAGATTATTTCACACCTGGAGGCATCCTCCTGCTTCCCAGGACCTGTTCCCAGAGAAAGGCACTTCCTTATCGGGAATCCAGGCATGTGCGGACCTTGGCCTCTGCCTAAAAGTTTGTGTTAAGTGGCCCACAGTGCCAGGTAGGGCCACAGCAACCCAGCATCCATGTCAGCCTGACCTGTTGGTCACAGCCCCTTCTCAGGTCTGAGAAAGCCACGTGGCTCATTGTTTATACCCCTTTGCGATAAGATGAAGCCCCTGAGTTTGTTGTCAGAACTTCCCCTTCTTTGGATGCTCCCAGAGGGATGTCCTGTCTCATTGAGTGCCATGTGGGCTCATCTATGACCCGAGGGCCCTGTCCCTTCTCCCCTCCTTTGCTGGGGCTCCTACTCAGGTCAGTTGGGGCAGTTAGAGGGTCATGTCTCTGATCAGCAAAGATGGGAATTCCCTCTGCAGGCAGAGTCCCAGGCTGGCAGATGTGGGCGTGGTCACTGGGCCAGCCCTCAGAAATGGGTCAGGTGACCTTTCAAAACCTGGGTAGGTTAAGGGTTCTAAACCTACCAACAGCACCCAGGCCATAACTTAGCCGGATTTTTCTGGAACCATCAGACAACCTTTGCAAAAAGTGAGGACGAGTGAAATGCACTGCCTGGTGGGTAAGTTGTTTAGGCGTCTTGGGCTTCTGTCCCCAGGGGTTATTCAGGCTGGTGGTGTGGGGGCTCAGCGGCAGGTTATTTGGGGCCAATGTGCCTTGCTTCAGAGGATCCCCCTGTGTTTGAGCAGGAAAGCGGGGGTTGCAGTCCAATCTGGCACCTGGGCCCACGTTGGTCACCACGGTGGTTGGGTTGAGCCGAGCACAGGGCCGGTCAGCTGGAGTCTAAGGCTCCTCAACTGCCTTTTGACGGCCTGCACCCAGGGCACAGGGCACCTGGGGCAGAGCCAGAATCACAGGGCCCAGGCAGATGCTATAGGAAAGGACTGGAGCCAGGGAGGGAGGCAGGCAGGCCCAGGCAGGCCCAGGCAGCCACGTCAGCCAGCCAGGTGGCCAGGGTGCTGAAGCTTGGCTCTATGCTCTGTGCTTTATTGGAGGGTTGGTGTTTATCAGGGTAAAAAGCACACAGTGTGAGGTCTGCCATAGCCACGACCCTGAGGTGGAAGGGTGTTGTGGAAGTGGAAGGTAGTTGTTGTTTTTTTTTTCTTTTTTATTTTGAGTTCCAGGGTCCATGAGAGGCATGTCTTAGCGAGGAAAGGCGAGAGGCCCCTTTCAGCCAAATAGAGATTTTGCAGGTGGCATAGCTTAGTTTCCACTCAATATGTAGTAATGCTTTTTGCCGGTCGAATCTCCCAAAATTCCATTTAAGAGTGTGATACTACTTTACTGTGTTACTCATCTCAAGGTATCCTTGTACACTTTTAAAAAATTGTGTACTCATCCTTTGAATCACATATAAGCCAAAAATTAAGAAAAATATTTAATGACTGCTAAGATGCTTTTGAATAGAGAGTTATGAAAGAAGAAAGGAAGCAAGACTAAGAGGGTCACTAACGTGAGTAGAAAAGACATCAAAGAGGTAGAGTGTAAGCACATCTCCTCCAGGAGTTCCCTATCATTGAAGTTACAGGTAGATGAATGAGAACACATGTCAAAAGTGAAAGACGAATCAAGGAGAAGTAAGCCTCCCTAGGACGGTCATGAAAAATGCAGTTGAAATAGGGTTTCTGCAGATCTTCTGTTTGGGTTCTGGGAGCAGAAGGGACTTTACTGAGATTCTTGTCACTAGTTGCAAATGGTGATTGACCTCCCGGCCACCTCCTTGCCCACATCCTCCTGCTTGGGTCAGGTCTGGACATCATGGAACTTCTGGCAGCCAAATTGCCAAGCATGTATTAGGTGAAGGTCTGCCAGCAGCAATGCTAAATCTTTCACAAATTGCGGGGCTCTATGGTTTTGGCCTCCTTGAGCCTGAACTCCCTGCTGAGATGGAGGGACATACTTTCCGTTATGGGTAACTCTGTGTCTCCACGAGTGTGGGTCCTGAGACCTCAACTAAATGCTCTCCTTGTTTTTACAGGTGGTGCTTCAAGGCTCAGGGGACGTGGCCTCATGGGCAGAATCCAAAGTGTCTGGTCTCTGTCTCTTCAGAGCAGATTCCAGTGCAACACGTACAGGCGTGTGGCCCCTTTCATCTCCCTGGTGGATGTGCATCACAGTGGTAAGTTGTCTTGGTTCTGAACATCCCGCCTGGGTTGAGGTTCAGGCCTTGACTTGGGTGTCTTCATTTGCTGGCTTCTGTCTTTTTTCCGGAGGGAAAGATATCCTCTTCTTATTGATAAAATTGGAGATGTACCCTTAACCAGAATATCTAGAGTTTGCTGCTTGGGGAAAATTACTTAGTGGCACATACGGAGAAGGTACTGCAAGTCCCCACCCCACACAAAACGTCTGCACTCCAGGTTGCCTCTGGTAGAAGAATCCTGAGTTATTGCAGGCTGACCTTATAAATGGACATTCTCTCTATGATCAACTTTTGCCCACACTTGTTTATTAGGCCATTCATCTAAAGCAAAGTATATCGGGCATCTATACAAATGGATGTTTGAGTGGACTTCTGTGCACGTTCTCTCTCTCTCTCTCTGTCTCTCTCTCTTTATCTCCTTTTTTTTGGTGGGGGAGTGGGAGTTGCAGAGGATGAGAGAGACCCTTAAGCAGGTTCCACATGCCTTGCATAGCATGACATGGGGCTCAATCCCATTACCCTGACAACATAACCTGAGCCAAAAACAAGAGTTGGTCCCTTAACTGAAAGAGCCATGCAGGCATTCCTGGGCATGATTTGTCTTCATTCAAGGGAGCATAAGAACCCCCTTCTGTCCTAAAACCTTCCGAATCAGGGAGTTTTTACACATCTGCAGTGGTCTTACACCATCTCAGGCCCAGAGATATGTAGCTGTTCTTGGTGGTGGAGAAAACCACTTGGCTCCCAAGTTTTCATATACGGGGAGGAAGCCCTCACTGCCCGATGTTGAACTGTAGAGGTTTTCCTGCCCTGGTACTGACAGTTCTTCCAGAAGAGCACCTTTGTAAAAGATGAAATTAATTTGCAAGCCTCTGGGTGGCACAGTTGGGTAAACATCTGCCCCCGGCTGAGGTCAGGATCCCTGGATCCTGGGGAATCAATCCCTGCATTGGGCACCCTTCTCAATGTGAAGCCCGCTTCCTCTCCCTCTTCCCCGCTGCCTGACCCTGACTGTTCTTGCTCCCTCTCTAGCTCTCTCGCTCTCAAATAAATAACTAGAAATATTTCTAAGCATGTAATTAATTTGCAAATCCTTTCCAATTTATGAGGACAGTATTAGTAGAATTAAGGACACATGAGAGGTAGATCACAAACCATGTGTTTGTTGAATCTTGTTGCCATTCATCCTTGTGATCTACATACATCGATAGATTAATGTTTTCATGAACTTACATCAATCACCTTGTTTTCTAAGATTCTGAATTAACCCTCCAATTGATGTTCTCATGGATCACAGGCAGTGTTACTTCCTGTGGTCAAACTTCCTACCAAGAGACAGTATCTGTGTCAGTTGTGAGAGCTAGTAAAGGAAGGTCCCCCGTTCTTATTTGGCACAGTGTGCACGGTTGTGAGACCCCGCCTGTTCGGTGATACTGGCCTTTATGCATGTACTGAGGGATGGGAGCAGATGGGCTTTATTTCTAGCTATTGGTTACTGGAATAGTGCATTCAACATCCCTCAGAACATGACCCAGTTGTATGTGTTTGCAGTGAAAAATTGTCAGTGTCTGAGTTTGTATCTCAATATCACCCTAAGAAATTCCTGGGGAGGTATTTGCCCAGTGATTTTCTGATGTGAGTGTCCAGGGAAGAATTTTCCCCCATTGTGTTGGGATCAGTGTTTCCTCAGTCTGAGGGTGTCGTTGTTCACTAAGGAAGAAGGCATATCTGAGCACATTCCTTTCCTCATGACACTGGGAGGATTTTCTTCTGTGGAAATCCTCCCATGTCCTTCGTGTGTTGGCTCCATGAGGAATGGGATTCCCACATGGATTTCATCGGCATTCAGCAGCAGCGATGATGCAGGGTGTCCCAGGAGGTCCCTGCACCTTCGCTCCTGTGTGAGGGATGATGCGCACTCTGAGATGGTAGCAGGAGCTCGGGTCTGAGCCCCAGTTGATGCTTCTCCCACCAAGATACAGCGCTAGTGGTTCTCCCCTTGTGAGTTCTCTGGTGTTGGGAAAGGGACCACTTCTGGCAGAAGGCTCTGCCTCAGTGATTGGAGACACAGGGTTTGTATTGTGTGATTTATGTGGTGGTGAGAAAGGTGGGCACTCTGAGTAAAGTCGGGGCCCTGGTGATGACAGACTCAGGTTTCTCTGTTCTGAGATATCTGGTGTCTCCAAATGTGAGAGCTGTATCTAACGGCTCTTCCACGTTGACCGCATTTGTTGAGGTTCCCACCGGTGTGGATCCTCAGATGCTGGCTGAGGGTGTGGCTGGACTAAATGCTTTCCTTTGAAGATGGCATTCAACCAGTTTCTGTCTATGGAAACGTGCCCATGGCCTCGAAGGGATGCATGTTGCTGCCAGCTCTTGTGCAGCAATCCCACCACATGGCTTCTATCCTGTGTGAAGTCATTGGTGTTAATAAGAGCAGAGCTCTCTGAATGAAGGGTCTCCCACCTTCGTTCCATCCCTAAGGTGCCTCTCAGGTGATTTTTCCGTGTACAGAGGTGAGCACTGCCGTGGAATTGTTTCCCGCATGCGTATCATGTGTACTTTCCTTGGAAGGGTGAGTTATCTCATGTCTCCTGAGGTTAGAGTCCCGACTAAAGGGTCTCCCACACTGGGGAGATGAGTGTGGTGCGATCCAGGATGAACGAGCTCTGATGTCACTTGCACCAGGGACACATGCCTAAAGGCCCTTCCACATTGTCTGTAAATACAAGGTTTCTCTTCCCTGTGTGTTAGCAAACATCGAGTGAGGTGAGGTTCATGTGAAATCTTCCTCCTGTGCCCCAGCATTGGCCATGTTCCTGGGCAGTGTGAACTGTCTGCTTATGGCCAGAACAGGAGGGGCTGTGGAAGGATTGCTCACTCATGTTCCTTCCTTCCTGACTCGTAGTAATTCCAGCCTCCTCTTTCAGGTATAGTCTCTGTGTAAATTCTGCATGTCGCTTTTGTTTGAGTGCAATATTACTTTTCTGAATTCAGATAGATCTTTCTACATGGTAACGGCTTGACTTGAGGCCCATTTCAGCCAAGACATGAAACTACTCAGATTTTTGGTGGGACAACCTGTATGCTCAGTGTCTTGGAAGACAGGAGATTTTGGTGAATGCTTAGCGTATCCCATGTCCTGCTGTAGTGTGGAAGATGAGGGCTCATTACAGTGAAGCTTACCATTGACTGGCAGAGAAGCAGACCTTTGAGATGCACCCACGTGGGTATCACTTCATCCTTTTTAATAGGGAATGTATTGCAGTGAGCACTTGGGTCTTATATGCAAACAATGAGTCATGGAACACTACATGAAAAACTACTGAAGTACTTTATGGTGACTAAGACAACAGAACAAAAGAAAGAAAGAGGGGGAGGGAGGGAGGAATACAAAGAACAAAAAGATAATGAAGGGAAGTAAGGAAGGAAGCAAGAGAGGGAGGGTTTGAAAAAAAGGAGAAGAGAAACTGGTAGAGAGGCATTAGGGGAAAGAAAAATTTTGAAAGTTGTGAGACAAACATCTGAGAGTTAAGATTTGAGCTTGATTACAAAGGAAAGACATGGAGTCATCTACTAAGGAGCAGAAACATGTTATAGGGTATTGGTGATTAGAACCTATTGACCAGATAAACATGTGAGAAAAAGAAAGGGAGGATGGGATGCTGGGGAGATTAAGATGGGCAAACTCCACAAAGGCGAGGACTGAAAGAGGTTCCACATGATAGTTTCAGTCCAAGAATCACAGAAGTGTCCTATGTTCAGATGATGCAGAATGTGCAGTGGGTTAGGTGGATGGAGACGGAAGAGTTGTCAGAAATGGGAACGTGTTGCAGGGTTGTTTCCACAGGAGCCTTATGTAGGCTGGACTGATGCAGGAGGACTGATGTAGGTAAGATGTTAGAGTTCGAGGCTGATGGTCAAAAAAGAAGTCTTGAGACACCTTTGCTGGCAAAAGATGATTTCATTAAAGCACAGGTACAGGACCCATGGGTAGAAAGGTTTGCTATGCTGGGGTCATGACGGGAGGCTGACTTTCTAGGATGGCAATGGGGGAGGTCAGGGAAAAGGGAGGTTTTGTAAGAACGTTGCAGTAGATCAGATGACACACAGGATACAGGAGGCTGGCTCTTGTCAAGTGAAGGTGGTTTTTCCTTCTAGAAAGACATTAATGGAAAGATAGTTGGGAACTTCCTGGAGGAATGTTACCTTCTTCATCTCACAGGTCCTTCTCAAGGGACTGCAGGTTTGGGAAGAAATTCCGTTTTATTTACATTTCCTTCAGCCTCAGCCTCCCTCAGTGTGATGGAGGGGAGGGAGATGTTAGGGCTTCAGGAAATGGAGTTACAGGTCTCTGGAAGTTAGCTAGCCTAATGACAAGCAACCCTCTTCCTTTGTAATCACTAGGACATTTGTAAACTGAGGGAGACTGAGGTCTTGCAGTGTTTTGATCTCTATTTGTGAAGAACCTGTTTTTTTCTTTCCTTAGCTTTAGAGCAGCCAGAGTGACTGAGGAATGTCACCCATATCACATGTTGTGGAGGGGTGGTGTGGCATGCCAGCTTCTGCTTTGTCCTCAGCTAGCCTTCTCTGCCCTTGTCATGTCCTCCTAAATAGGTTAGACCCTTCAGTCATTAAGGTTGTTGAAGGAGGAAGGTCTTATCTTCTGTATCTTCTTCCTGCTGAATTGGGGCATAATGATGTCCCTGCCTATGGGTCAGTACTGGTCATTTAGGGACTCTATGTGTGAGAGTTGTGAATTGCAGGGACCACTGAGAGCAGGGGAGAAATTCTGTTCGGATTTTCCTGAGTGGAAAGGACTATCTCTCATCTGGAAGTTACTGCAGTGAAGGATTCCTGGCACCACCCAGGGAATTTGTCAGGTCCTGAGCTCTTGTGTTTTGGGAGGTTTTTTATCACTCCTTTAATCTCATTACTAGATATCCATCGATTCAGGTTGTCAATTTCTTCCTGGTTCAATTCTGGGAGTTTATAGTTTTCCAGGAATGCATCCATTTCATCTAGGTTGCTTAACTTATTGGCATATAACTATGGATAATAATTTCTGATGATTGTTTCTATTTCCTTGGTGTTAGTTGTGATCTCTCCCTTTTCATTCATAATTTTATTAATTTGGGCTTTCTCTCTTTTCTTTTGGATTAGTTTGGCTGATGGTTTATTGATCTTATTGATTTTTTCAAAAAAAAACAGCTTCTAGTTTTATTGATGCATTCTACTGTATATCTAGTTTCTATCTCATTGATCTCTGCTCTAATCTTGATTATTTCCCTACTTGAGTGTGGAGTTGGATTAATTTGTTGTTGATAATCCAGTTCTTTAAGATGTAGAGACAGCTGGTGTATTCTGGATTTTTCCATTTTTTTGAGGG